TGGAGTCATATCGTACTTATCTCATGATGCTGTCCTTATTAACTGAGGTGGTGGGGCTGAAGCTCTTCAGAACCACTGCTTCATTCAATCTCATGGCAGGTGTTACTCATTTCCCATGACAAATCCTCCTGCCCTTCTATTACACAAACAAAGGATCTAATGCAATGAAACTCAGTTAGACCTTTTTCCACTAGACATTCTCCTGAAAAGTATATTGCTGGTAGCTTGGTAGTTTTTTCATTAGACTTGTAGGGATATTTTTGGATCATCAGTTATGATGAAGACTTACAGAAAATGCTGCTATGCCCTCCAGGGAGTTGTCAATGTTAGCATCTGACTCCACCTTGCTCTCTGGGCCCCTCGAGGCCATGTCTCTTTTATGCTTAAACAGCACCTAAGCTAGTGTCATGCACGAAGTAGGACCCAAATTCCATTCCTGTAACACTGATTTGTGTTTGTGCCATGAACTCTGATAAGTGTTTTTGCAGATTTTCTGTGTTTAATGATCAATTGGTTCTTGTTTAATTGGATTCATAAAACTATTTCATTCTGATATTTTGGCCTGATTCTGGATCTCAGATTCCCTTAGCATGTGGGGAGGAGGAAGTGTTCCTGTCTCTTCCCCATCAGGATGCCTGGTGACCCCTGTTCTCCTTTTTCCTTTGGTACTCAGCTTCCCTTGGTGCTGAAACCATTTACCTCAGGTTGGGACTTGAACCCATGTGGCAGGATTCAAACCCAGTCCAAACCCAGGTATTCTGAGATCACAGACCTGGTTTCAGGATCTAAGGAAGCCCAGGTTCTTATTATCTCATCACAGAAGAATTCAGTGAGAGACAGTGATAGATAAGAAGTGGATTTATTCAGAGAAAAACACACTCCACAGACAGAGTGCAGGCCGTTGCAGAGGGTGAGTGTGGTGACCCTGAAATGTGATGTGGTTAGCCTTTAGGGGCTGAGTAATTTCATAGGCTAATGAGTCAGAGGATTATTCCAACTATTTTGGGGAAGGGGTGGAGATTTCCAGGAATTGGGCCATTGCCCACTTTTTGATCTTTTGATAGTGCCTTGGAACTGTCCTGGTGCCTCTGGGTATGTCATTTAGCTTGATGATTAAGGATGACTTGTCTGCCATTTTGGACCCATTTGGTTCTAATTGGCTTATGTTATGTACTTGGGCTATATCATTCTTTCAAAAGTGCCCTGCTCCTTTCCATCCTGTTTCAGCATCATCTTTGGTTCTTGGGACCTTGTCTCACCCCCATTACTGTTCTCTGTGTCCCTGCTCTAAGATGCTGGGGAAAGGAAGGAGGAAGAGGGAGAGTGAGAAGAAAAGATGATCTCTGTTCCCAGTCAGTGTGTCTGCAGGCATCTTTTAGCAAGTTAAAAACCTAAACTCCCCGTCTGCAATCTGGGCCTTTCTGGAAGGTGGTGAGTCAACCCAGGAATGAGTGAGCAAGGCTGGCCTGGGAGATGAGTCAGGATCCAGCAAAGGCAATCAACACAACATCCTCTGCAGATGGTAGCCTCTGGGCAAGTGGACAAGATGTTCCTGTGGGTCCAGCCGGTCACTAACTAGAGCTTCAAGTGCTGAGATGACTCAAGTATATACTGTCTGATTTCTTAACAAAATCATTTATAGGGTGTACCTCTGGATTATTTTTAACTTGAGAACATGGCTTTCTTGTCCTCAAGGGAGGTGCTATGAATTTTTGTCTCTTGGATAAAAGGTGTTATCATAGTATAATTGTAGTTATATGGAATCATCAGGATCTTCTTAAGTTACTCTCACTCCCAGTGTGCTGACATCTCTCCTCCTTGCTTCAGTTGCCAGGGTCTTCCAAGTGTCCATCTGTAGTTCAGACCTTCTCCAAGGCTCATATATCCAACTTCATACTTGACAGGCCAGCTGGATATCTAATAAACCTAAATTTATCATATCCAAAATTGAGCTCTTTTTTAAAAGTTTTTCAATTGCTTTGGTTTTTTTCCAGCTTTACTGAGGTATAATTGACAACATGAGATATTTAAAGTGTACAATGTGGTGTCTGATATACATCGTGCAAAGATTTCCCCTCATTGAGTTAACACATCCATCACCTCACATATATACCTTTTTTTTTCTTTGATGAGAACACTTAAGTTCTACTTTCTTAGCAAATTTCAATCCAAAATTGACTCTTGCTTGTCTCCTCATATTGGTTTCACCTGAGATTTTTGCCCTGTGCTCCTGAAATAAAAACAGGGTTACCATCAACCAAGATGGGAAGATCTCAGGTGAAACCAATGGTATGGACCTATTAGAAGCAGAAGATATTAAGAAGAGGTGGCAAGAATGCACAGAACTATACAAAAAAGATCTTCACAACCCAGATAATCACAATGGTGTGATCACTCGCCTAGAGCCAAACATCCTGGAATGCGAAGTCAAGTGGGCCTTAGGAAGCATCACTACAAATAAAGCTAGTGGAGGTGATGGAATTCCAGTTGAACTATTTCGAATCCTAAAAAATGATGCTGTGAAAGTGCTGCGCTCGATATGCCAGCAAATTTGGAAAACTCCGCAGTGGCCACAGGACTGGAAAAGATCAGTTTTCATTCCAATCCCAAAGAAAGGCAATGCCAAAGAATGCTCAAACTACCGCACAATTGTACTCATCTCACACACTAGTAAAGTAATGCTCAAAATTCTCCAAGCCAGGCTTCGGCAATACGTGAACTGAGAACTTCCAGATGTTCAAGCTGGGTTAAGAAAAGGCAGAGGAACCAGAGATCAAATTGCCAACATCCGTTGGCATTTGGGTTATAGACAAAGCAAGAGAGTTCCAGAATAACATCTACTTCTGCTTTATTGACTATGCCAAAGCCTGTGACTGTGGATCACAATAAACTGTGGAAAATTCTTCAAGAGTTGGGAATACCAGACCACCTGACCTGCCTCTTGAGAAACCTGCATGCAGGTCAGGAAGCAACAGTTAGAACTGGACATGGAACAACAGACTGGTTCCAAATAGGGAAAGGAGTACGTCAAGGCTGTATATTGTCACTCTGCTTATTTAACTTATTTGCAGAGTACATCATGAGAAACACTGGGCTGGATGAAGCACAAGCTGAAATCAAGATTGCCGGGAAAAATATCAATAACCTCAGATACTCAGATGAAACCACCCTTATGGCAGAAAGCAAAGAACAACTAAAGAGCCTCTTGATGAAAATGAAAGAGGAGAGTGAAAAAGTTGGCTTAAAGCTCAACATTCAGAAAACTAAGATCATGGCATCCAGTCCCATCATTTCTTGGCAAATAGATGGGGAAACAGCAGAAACAGTGACAGACTTTATTTTGGGGAGCTCCAAAATCACTGTAGATGGTAATTGCAGCCATGAAATTAAAAGATGTTTGCTCCTTGGAAGAAAAGTTCTGACCAACCTAGACAGCATATTAAAAAGCAGAGACATTACTTTGCTAAGAAAGGTTCATCTAGTCAAAGCTATGGTTTTTCCAGTAGTCATGTATGGATGTGTGAGTTGGACTGTAAAGAAAGCTGAGCGCCAAGGAATTGATGGTTTTGAACTGTGGTGTTGGAGAAGACTCTTAAGAGTCCCTTGGACTGAAAGGAGATCCAACCAGTCCATCCTAAAGTAAATCAGTCCTGAATATTCATTGGAAGGACTCATGCTGAAGCTGAAACTCCAATATTTTGGCCACCTGATGCAAAGAGCTGACTCATTTGAAAAGACCGTGATGTTGGCAAAGATTGAAGGCGGGAGGAGAAAGGGATGACAGAGGATGAGATGATTAGATGTCATCACTGACTCAATGGACGTGAGTTTGAGTAAACTCTGGGAGTTGGTGATGGACAGGGAGGCCTGGCATGCTGCAGTTCATGGGGTCACAAAGAGTTGGAGATGACTGAGCTACTGAACTGAACTGACTTAACTTGTAGGTTGGGGCAGCACAAGTCAATAAAATAAGAGGCCAACTTAAACAATATGTATTTCACTCTTGTGTTTCTGTTTTAGTTATTAGCTATTAGCAACTAAGAGACCAGAAGTTTTGTTGTACTTCCATCTAAATATTTGGTGTCTTGATGAGGAATTTTAAGGTACTTTTTCCAGGTTCCAATACAGCCCCTGCACCTCAGTCTATCAGAGCTTTCCCCCAGTGTACCATATCTCCTTTACATTAGTAAAGTGCTTCTTTGGCCCATTGAGCTTTGTGTGTGAGGTAGTTTCCCAGTGGTTCTGACTCTTTGTGACCCCGTGGACTGTAGCCCACCAGGCTTCTCCATCCATGGGACTTCCTAGACAAGAATGCTGGAGTGGGTTGCCGTTTCCTTCTCCAGGGGATCTTCCTCACCCAAGGTTAGACCTGGGTCTCCTGCATTGCAGGCAGATTCTTTACTGTGTGGGCCACCAGGGGAGCTTTCAGAGTAATCCATTCCTTCAGCATTTGGTGTAATGAGGCGCTCACTGAGTTTCTCTCTAGGAGAAGCTGACCTCACAGCTTGCGAGCTGAGCAGTTAAGGTCAACTTCTTGGCTGGATCCGATTTCTATCTGAGCTTTAATGAAAGAGTCTGCGTGTTCAGCTACCACTGGTGAAGTTATCTGATTCATCCGTGAGATGGGATGTTCTTCTCTCTCTCATGCTCTTTCCCAAACTCTGCAACCAAGCACTTGGCACCACGTGGGCAATGGGAGGGGCACAGCATTCAATGGGATCCACACCAGATGTGTAAAGAGCTGCCTTTGAAAGCGCATGGTGAAAGGCATCACACCTTTTCTCACGACTCCAGCTCCTGTGGCACCTGGAGGCCTCAGACACTTTCCAATGCATCTCTCCAGACAGCCCCTCCAATGGCTTCGAGTGTTTTCCAAACATAGGATGTTATCACTAGCGCCTTGACTGTGACCCTTTGGGTTTTGGCTCGTAGTTGAGCAGTTCTGGGTTTTGTTCAACCTTTGACTCCAGTTGCATTCATTTTGGATTTTTGTTTTGCAGAAACCAGTGTGAAGGTGAATACTATGAAGTACATGGAAATGCTTGAGGAGAAACTGCACAGGTAAGGATGGTGATTTCTTCATTGCAGACTCAATGGTATGTCTGGATTCTTCATTATAACAGAATTTAGTGAAAGCAAAGAAAAAGGCTAGCCAATTCTGTCATAAATTAGCAAAGTAAAACACACACAAAAAGGAGTTCTTTGAACCCTGTAACAGAAGAATCAGGTGTCATACAAACATCTCCCAGCACTTTTTTCTTTTTATAGAATGTAAGTAGATTAAGATGTTGAAAAGTGTTTGAGGGAGATCACAAGAGAGTTTTCATGTTTCAGAAGAAGAAGAATCATCTTCCTTGGTATGTTAAATTCAGAATGTATGCTTCGGTCTGTCTTCCTGTTCTTTTAAATGTCTGAAGTGGGTGTAATGGATGTTGACCTGGCTTATATATGTTTTGGAACCATAGAAAAATGCACATCTTAGGTTCTGTTTTGAATCTTGAATCAAAACCAGCGTGAAAATTCTTGTGCCTTTTTTTCTTAACCCAATTAGGCATTCAGATTTGAGAAACATTAGGGATGCTGCAGCATGTCAAGATGTTTCTGGATTTTATGGATGTGTACTCATGAAAATAAACCCCAGCCACCAGGCTCTGTTCCTAATTAAGGAAACATGTACAAAAATGTAATATGTGCCTTCTTCCCTGGGACTCATTTAGCTTTATGGAAAATGTTTTGCTACTATTTTGGAAATTGTTAAATAACTCTTTAAATAGGCTATGCCTTAAACCTTTGTCTGCCAGGGTAATGCCTTCAGCTAAAATACTGCTTCTCCCTTAAGAGATGTTAAGAGGAGCTGCCTTGTTGAGCACTGCTCTGCAGGGTGGATTGTAATGGGTGGAAAGCAGGTTCTTCCAGCCCTAGAGGTGGGGAGGAACCACGACAAAGGTCATCAGTAGTGTGTACGTGGTGAGGGGGCGTGCAGGTCAGAGGCATCCTCTGAGAAGAGGCCTCGCCTCCTTAGAAAGCAGGGTGCTCACTTGGCTCAGGTGGGCTGTCTGGCATCCTCGTCTCCCACGTGTTCTGCTGGGGAAGGTTTCTGCACATCCCTTTTGATCTTAACTCTAGTTATCATGTTTTAGCCATGGACATCACACACACACCAGGTGTTCTGTCAGGTGACTGGCTGGTAGGTTGGGGTTGTGAGATGTGGGTATAGGTAGAGGGGTGTCCCTTTATTGTTTTTTTAATCGGAGGATAAGTGCTTTACAATGTTGTGTTGGTTTCTGCCATACAACAACGTGAATCAGCCATAATTATATGTATTCCCTCCTTCTTGAGCCTCCCTCCCCATCCCATACCACCTCTCTTGGTCATCACAGAATGCCAGCCTCACCTTCCTGTGTTTTAGTGGTTTCCCACTAGTTATCTATTTTACACATGGTAATGTATATCTGTCAGTTCTGCTCTCTCAACTTGCCCTGTCCTCTCCTTCCCCTGCTGTATCCGCACATCCATTCCCTACGTCCGCACCTCAATTCCTTGTCTGCAAATAGATTCATCAGTACTGTTCTTCTAGATTCCAATGTGTGTGTTAATATACTATATTTGTTTTTCTGACTTATTTCATTCTATATAACAGGGTCTAGGTTCATCTACCTCACTACAACTGACTCAAATTCATTTCTTTTTATGACTGAGTAATGTTCCATTATATATATGTACCACATCTTCTTTATCCATTCATCTGTCTATGGATATCTGGGTTGCTTCCATGTCCTGGCTATTGTAAATGATGCTGCAAGGCACCCCTTTAAATTGCAGCTCTATCACTTAGCAGTTGCCAAACCTCAGGTAAGCATTCACCTTCAGTTTCTTTATCTATAAAACTGATGGATGGGTAACTACCTTCCAGGTGTGTGCATTTTGTTGTTCGCTATATATAAAGCACTCTTATGGTCAACTGCCAACAAACTTTCGTTCCCTTTGCCTCCTGCTACTTTCCAATCTTCCTTGTCCTAATCGTCAAACTGGCTGAACAGTCATGCACAGCATGCATCCTTCCCCCTCCAGGCCGGGCCCCTCTGCCGGGCATGCAGTCAGGGAATGCCCCCTCGCCCAGCTGCTCGGGCCGTCCCACCTAGCACCTGTGCGGAGCCAGGACTTGCACTCACTGCCCTTTCCTCTTCTCCCCCTTGGGGTCAGTCAGTAGTCCTGCCACTTCAGCCCCCTAGGGCCCTCTGGCCTGCCTGCGTTCACCACTCTAGTGTGGGTCTCCCTGAATGATGCTCGCAGCTACTGTTTACATTTTTTCTGTGTCCGTTGTTGCCCTTTCTACCCCATTCTCCAGGTGGTCTTCAGGGAGCATCTTAAAATACAAGTCTGGTCCTTATGTATCCCCATCCTCCTAAGAATAAAGGTTAAATGTGCCACGTGGCCCCTGCCTTTCTTCCATGTGACCTCTGTGGGAAGTCGTTTAGTGTCAGCCGTCATCACTGGTCACCACCCACTCTTTGCCTACTGATTCTCTTATGTGTCACAATGCCCCTGTGGTGTTTTTCTAGAGAGAATGTAATTCAGAACAGAAAATGGTCAAGGGACATTGTTCAGGGAAGAATTAGGTTGGACCATGTGAAATTACTGATATTAGACCATTTTGACCTAGAAAATGACAATTTCTTATGGTTCAACCAAATATCTAGTGATTTGGAGTCATCGGCAGTAGGTCAGATGGTACGGCCTGAGTCTGGCCAGTCAGCTTCCCCGGGATGCGCCAGCCCATGTGTGGATCTGAGAACTCCCACCTCCTCCTCGGCATGTGCTCCAGGGGGCTCTCTATCTCCACCCCACCAGCCCTCCATCTGTATAAGCCTGTGCATCCTTCCACGTTTTAGACATCTTCTCTTTGAAGCCCTCCATAACTCCTCAGTACCAAGTCATGTGCTTGCACTGAATTATTCTCATTTTCAAAGTGCTTTATGTCAGGTATGGAAGATTACATGTCTTGTTCTGAATGGATCCTCAGTGATTTGATAGGTCGGAACAGTTTAGAGTGCCAAACAATATTTGCTGAATGAGTAATTGAATAGGCGAATGAATGAATACTGCCAATCTGTAGACACCCAGGTGTCATATCTGTCACCTCTCCAGCCTTGTGAATGAGTGACGGACGGACGTTTGTTGCTTGGGATCCATCAGCTGTCTCCAGGGACCAGGGCGGTGCCTGGCGATCTTCCAGCCTACTTCCTGAGGGCTCTTTCCATGACTGTTTCAAGTTTTGAGGGGGTCTGGCACACATTTGTTTGAACTGTCGTGGCGGAAACACAGGAAGAGACAGGAGAAAAGGCAGTGGGGTCTGTGATCCCCGAGCAGCGGACAAAGGAGCGGACAGAGCTGGAAACTGGTATGCGCCCAGGGGCATGCTGGCAAATTATTGCTGCCTCAAAGCAGAAGGCCAGCCTGGGGGCCACGGAAGAGTGCTCATGGTTGGTCTCTCCCTCCCAACACACACAGAACCGCCCTCCCCACTAGGCTTGATGAGTGATAGTTGCACAATCCTGTTATAGTCAGTTCTTTCTAAGAGCATCAGTGTTTTAAAGCACAAAAACAGTTTTTAGTCCTTGATATGGTTTGCATCATGGTGGCTGCTCAATTAATATTGCAAGATGTTTACAAAAGCGAGGTGATAGATGCTGATGAAAATCTTTGTTATTTGCATTGTTTGTAGTGTCTCTTGAACTTACAGGGGTTTAGAAGGACAGTTGCTGAGAAATGAATGAACTGCTCATTGTCCATTAGAAAGTTGTTGTTGCTGCTGCTGCTAAGTCGCTTCAGTCAGTCCGACTCTGTGCGACCACATAGATGGCAGCCCACCAGGCTCCCCCGTCCCTGGGATTCTCCAGGCAAGAACACTGGAGTGGGTTGCCATTTCCTTCTCCAATGCATGAAATTGAAAAGTGAAAGTGAAGTCGCTCAGTCGTGTCTGACTCTTGGCGACCCCATGGACTGCAGCCTACCGAGGACATACTTTATCATCAGTGTCACTGCGAGATTTGGATCTGGCCAGTCATGATTTTAGGGCCTCCCTGGCGGCTCAGTCGGTAAAGAATCTGCCTGCAGTGCAGGAGAGCTGGATCGATCCCTGAGTCAGGAAGATTCCATGGAATAGGAAATGGCAACCCAGTCCAGTACTCTTGCCTGGAGAATCCCATGAACGGAGGAGCCTGGCCAGCTACAGTCTATAGGGTTGCAGGAGTAGGACACGACTTGGCAACTAAACCACCACAGTCATGATTTTGGAGACAGACCTAAATGACAACAACATCTTTGCTGAGACCTGAAGACTCAGGTACTGAGACAAATTGGGGTGGGTTCAATGTCCCTCTCTCTATCAAGAAAGTCAAAGGAGTCAGAAATTATGAAATAACTGATGCTGTCAGCAGCCCAAAGGGATCTCCTCACAGTACAGAACAAAAAGTGAGCAAATATTAAATAGGGATTTCTAGTATATAGTAAACAAATCATTTGCCTTTTGATAATCTGAGTTATATACAAATGGGAATTTCCCTCTAAATTTGAATGTTTGTAAAAACATTAAGAAGGTTTTTTAAAAACCTGATTTTTAAAACCGTGGTTTTATTTGCTATCAGTGTTAAGGCTGCCAAATATATGATACACCTAAAATTATCTCAATTATGTTATTTTATATGCTCGGGATATCTATTCAATCAAGTATAATTGTAAATAGGTCAATAGTAAAATCATTATTTGTAAATTACACCCATAAACTCTTTATTTCATGTAACATATGTGAAACTAACGTGTGTTCTCAGTTGTGTCCAACTCTTTGCAACCCCATGGACTGTAGCCTGTCAGGCTCCTCTGTCCATGGGATTTTTCAGGCAACAATACTGCTGCTGCTGCTAAGTCACTTCAGTAGTGTCCGACTCTGTGTGATCCCATAGACAGCAGCCCACCAGGCTTCCCCATCCCTGGGATTTTCCAGACAAGAACACAGGAGTGGGTTGCCATTTCCTTCTCCAATCCATGAAAGTGAAAAGTGA